AACTCCGGGTGGGGACACCGAGGCAGGCGAGGGGGCCGGCAGCCTCCGCGGTACCGCCCGCCGCCCCGAGCACTCACCCGCAGCGGCGGAGACCCCCGATCGCACCATAATGGTCCCTCCGCGACAGTTGCTCTTCAAGGGCCGCGCCCGCAGTTGAGGACCCGCTCAGCGTCTGCGCCCGCTCTCATTGGCTCCCCAGGGTTTGAAACCCGCCAATAGGAAGCGGGGGAGGGCGGGACAAAAGGAAATAGTAGCTTAGCAAGGCGCTCGGCTCAGCGCTATTTGATTGGAGGAGCGGGTGATGATGAGAGAGCTTCCGACCTCTGCAGCGCAGGCGCACTTCCCTGAACTTCCCTCCTGTCAGACCCCGAAGGAGAATAGGATAAACCCCAAAATAGATGCAGAAAAAGCATCTGACAAAATTCAATAGCTATTCACGATAAAAACTCCCAACAAACCGAGTATAGAAGGAATGTCCCTCAATATAATAAGCTCTAAAATGACAAGCCCACAGCTAACATCTACTCAATGATGAAAAGTTAAAAGCTTTTCCTCTAAGGTCAGGAACAAGTCAAAAATGTCTGTTCTCATCATTTTTATTCAACATAGTACTGGAAGTCCTCCAGAGCGTTTAGGCATAAGAAAAAGGAAACCGCCCTGACTGCTTTGGCTCAGTGGATAGAGCGTGGGCCTGTGGACTGAAGGGTCCCCGGTTCGATTCCTGCCAAGGGCATGTACCTTGGTTGTGGGCACATACCCAGTGGAGGGTGTGCAGGAGGCAGCTGGTCGATGTTTCTAACTCTCTATCCCTCTCCCTTCCTCTCTGTAAAAAAATCAATAAAATATATTTTTTTAAAAAAGAAAAAGGAAACCAAATAGTAAAGGGGAAAGTAAAATAGTCTCTATTTGCAGATAACATGATATATATAGGAAACTAAAGACACCCAAAACAAACAAAAATACAAAACCCAAGAAACTATTAGTTTCAGTAAATTCGCAGGATAGAAAACTGATATACGAAAATCAGTTCCATTTCTATAAACCATCAGAAAGAGAAATTAAGAAAACAACTCCATTTACAATTCCATAAAAAAATAAAATACTTTGGAATGAATTTAGCCAAGGAAGTGAAACATCTGTACATAGAAACCTATTAATAAATGGAAAGATAATCTGTGTTCATAGATTGGAAGAATTAATATTATTAAAATGTCTATACGACCCTAAGCAATCCACAGATTCAATGCAACCCCTATCAAAATTCCAATGCCATTTTTCACAGAAATAGAACAATCAATCCTAAAATTTGTATGTAATTACAAAAAACTCTAAATTGCCAAAGCACCCTTGATAAAGAACAAAGCTGGAGTCATTTTACTTCCTGATTTCGGAGTATATTACAAAATGATTGCAATCAAAACACTGTGGTATGGTATAAAAGACACATAGATCAATGCAACAGGACAGAAAATGCAGAAATACTAGTAAACCCATACATATATGGCTAATTAATTTCTGACATAGGAGTCAAGACTATACAATGGAGAAAGGATAGTCTCTTCAATCAATGGCGTTGGGAATACTGAACAGCCCCATGCAAAAGAATGAAACTGTATCCCATCTCACACTGTACACAAAAATCAACTGGAATGGATTCAAGACTTAAATTTAAGACTGGAAGCTGTAAAACTCCTTGAAAAAAACAGAGGGTAAGCTCCTTGACATTGGTCTTGGCAATGATTTTTTTTGGATTTAACACTAAGACAGCTTCAACAAGCAAATATAAACAAGCGAGACCACATCAAATGAAAAAGTTTCTTCACAGCTAAAGAAATCATTAACAAAATAAAAAGGCAATCAGTGGAATGGGAGAAAATCTTTTCAAGCCATCTATTCGATAAAGCGTTAATAGCCAAAATATATAGAGAACTCACACATTTCAATAGCAAAACAACAAACAAAAAAGAAAACAATCCAATTAAAAAAATGGGCAGAGAAGCTGAATAGACATTTTTCAAAAAAAGCCACTCATATGACCAACAGGTACATGAAAAGGTACTCAACATCACTAACCATCAGGGAAATGCAAATCAAAACTACAATGAGATATCACCTCATACCTGTTAGAATGGCCGTCAGAAAAAAGACAAGAGAGAACAAGTGTTGGTGACGATTTGGAGAAAAGGGAACCCTTCTGTACTATTGGCGGAAATGTAAACTGA